AGTTTCATTTCGTACCGATATGAACGGACTATCATTCTGAACGGTCATATACATAAACGAAGTACAGTTACCATTAAGGGTATATTGACGCCTTCGCACTGTACGATTTTCGTTACGTTGGGGTTAATAGTGCAATTTATCATAACACAAGTCATCGCCAGACTAAAACACGGTTCACTCTACAGAATCCTAAATTACATAGGAGTTCGCTGACAAAGATTTCACTGTAGGAGCTGAACGCTTAAACAACTGAATAAACACTGTAGTAAATAAACATGTGTCATGGAACCCTGGGGTAACTGATATTTTTTACGACACCCTTGTGTTTTTAGAATGAAAACCGTTGTTTAAACTAATAAATTATAAAAGCGACAAAAATTAATGCTGAAAATGCGCGCACCTCTGAAATTCCTGTCAGGTATAGGTGGGGGGCAACGTACGTCTTTCACAGAAAGTGCACCATTGACGACTGGTATCGAAGCGGCGGATGATGACGACGGAAGACTTCCGGCAAAAGAGTCCGCGAACAGCGAACGATAGACTGACTGACGTTCAGTAGATGATATATTCCCTAAAACAGCGGGTACAGAAAAGAAATTATGGTAAAAACGATATCACAAAATTTTACTGATTGTCTTGGTGTCTTCTAGCAACGAGGCGACAATAGCTCGATCTTCAAGTTCGAAGGTTAGTGTTCGACCGCCGCCAGCAGCTGAATCTCCTTCGAACGAAACCTGCTTCTCCTGTTGTAACAACCGTACGATTTTATCGAACTTGTCTCCCCAGGAATCAACAGTGCCGTCGAACGCGCTGCCATTTAAATCAGAGTGTTTGTGCCAATCTCCGAGAATACGGATCACCCTAGAAGCGAATGGAAAGAATACGATAAAATGAGTGATAAAATTACATGATTGTGAAAAATACACGCATCACGAGTACCTTTTTGGCTTCTAGGTTTTAAGAGCGGCAAAAAACAGTAGTTTTGACGTTTTTAACCAGAATTAATGATTCTAAACTGATGATGAACAGTATAAACTGGTGCTTCGAAAGTTTTAAACAATTTCATGTGGAGTAGAGACGGCAGTCAATATACATATCAAATACCTGTTCAAAGAGAGCTGTTGTCCAGCAAAGCTTTTATGGAAAACGACCCCCATCTTCCGCCTCCTAAAGCCGTATTATCCTCATCATGCAGAAATAGTACCTGCTTGTTACATACTATAGCACCACCGTATGATCCTTTGCTTTTCCACATCTCGTTTTTAGAAACTTTCGGTCAATAAAATCATATCATATGACTCTTGGTTATGGAGACAACAACCTGTGAAGGATTTTGAATTGTGATATGTATATCATTCACATGGGCCAGACTAGACTGAAAATGTTCATATGCCTAATCTTTAGATTCCCACCAACGATGTATTTCTATTCGTTCTAAGTAGTGACACTGTTGGTCAGGAGTTCACTGTGCCCTGTATTTTTTTCTGGCATATTCTCCCCCACAGCACTTGATAATCAATTGTCCATCGGAAAGTACTCTGACACTCTTAGTGAAGGAACAGAACAGCTGCAGTGTATGTAATCTTATGCGGCAATACTTGTTTGCAAAATTATGTCGCTTTCAAATTGCTTTGCATTTTTCTTGATCACTTTTTCTTATAAAAATGTCTTCATCATTTGATAAAAAGAAAGGAACGACTATAACCGTGGGAATGCCGATCTTCCTTATACTTTGACGATGAAATCATTTTGGAGACATTCTTTTAATGAAACTAACGGTAGGGAGCTAATCTCCATTTTCATATCATAAGCCAGTAGTGCATGATTGTAAAAGCAGAGTCGACATCAGCCACGTGCAATTTCCTGATTCCCGGCTACACAGCGAGCGGTGGTCGTTCATTTATCTCAAAAGGGAGAAAGGCGAATGAACAGACCGAAGCTTGAACCCGACATCTCTCGGTTCTCAGTAAGATATTCTACTGGATGAGCAACCTCGCTCATTTGGAAGAACCTTTGTAGATAAGTCACAATAAGATCCTGGACGATATGACATTAACAGACCAACATGAATATACATATGCTGAAAAACGGTTTAAATACTGAGCAAAATCAATAACTGAAATGTGTGATTTTCGGTGTACATTGAAAAAGTAAGCCCAAAAGATTTTGCCCAGAATTTGGACCGTTTTCTCTCTATATTCACATTCACATGAGTGCACATACCGACACAAATCCTACGAATGGAACTAGTACCGCAATTTAACGAAAAAAATGGAATTCTTTGTTAACCCTATTCAAGCAATGAAAAACTTCAACTTTAAATTTTGAATTTACATAAAAAATGTTTAACAATCGTACTCTTCGCTTGTCTGCATACGCCGATCAGAGTAAATCCAAAGGGAGAACAGGTGCTTTTCTCTGGCAGCGGAGCAGCAACATGCAATGTATTTTACGAGTAGCTGGGTCAAAGAATGAACCGGAGGCTGGTTCGCCTGATCGCCTGCGGCAGCGGCCATGGCAACCATGCTGCGTTGCAATTTGCCGCTGACCTCCTCTAGAGTGGACTTCATCAACGTTGCCTCAGTCGAAATCTTCGCCAATTTCGTTTCCAACTTCGATTTGACTTTCTGCGCTTTTTCAACGCTCTGAAAGCAAGGATTCTGCATTTATGCAAATATAAACAGAGAATGCAACGCTTAAAAATGTTCACAAATTCGCCAATCATAATTATATACTTTTAGGATTAAACAATGCAAGAACTACAAATATTGCTTTGCCTTCAGGTAGGAGAAGATACAAGAACTGAAAGCATCGTCAGTCAATCATATCGTAAACAATCAGACTCAGTGGAAAATGAAAATTGCTCAGAATTTTAACCTATTCGCTTATCACTACAACGTACTTTGGGGATTTAAATATACAAAAACTAAGAATATAGGTATGTACAAAAACAAAACTGGTAAGAGCTTACGTAATCGTTAGTTTCAAAATAAAGTAAGGTAAATGACAGTAGCGAACGTTGACTACTGTATATCTGAATTACGATTTCTAACTGTCAGACATCATAAATCTGCGTTATATACGTCTTGTTAATCTTGGGTGACGACGACAAACCACGAGCAACGAGAGACAACGCAATGCGGTGCCTGGCCAGCGCAATGGTTGATTGAATGGATTTCATTAACAAAACGTTGAATTCTCGGACTACAGACGAAGTAAACAAATAACGAAAAAGGAAGCCTCTAATTGATGGGATGCTGGTTTTTAATACAGTTTCATTAGGGCAGTTACTTGTATCTTCATGCAGTTCATGGTGCGGCGCTGATCGCCACAGCGATATCATCAACTATATGAAACTTATGTGTTAGAATAGGACAACAACGTGCAGTACTTACTGCACTAAAGCTGAAAAGTGTGACCGAAGATAAATTACAACTCAAGACCATTCAATAGGGAATCAGGCACTATCCAGATAAATCATCTTCATGGCGGACATAACCGATAGTGCCTTGATCACGCAGCATTAGACCATAACGACTGAATGGTAGTTGTTGCAATTGCAAGGCATCTATTCGATGGTCGCTCAACAAAAATTTGCTTTTCTAGCTAAGTCGACGAGAAGATCCCTAATCATTTCCTTCGGTCTGCTTCAGCTCACTGAACTAGTGACGCTACTCCTTTCGCCGTAAATGCGGGTACAACGAGGCTTATAGCATCAGCTGAAGAATCCAGCTTCAAGCCTTAGCTTCCTCTACCTCTCAGAGGTTGATAACTTACACGTACATGTAATTTCATGATAATTCGTCAATCAGTTCTGTCCTTCAACAGCTTACACCATTCCAAAAGATATCTTGTAAGCTAGTGCGTATCTATTCATGGATTGAGATAGTTAATGCAAAAAAAATCAAGCTAATTTGGAGACTAACTTAATTCATCGACCGACAAACTTTAGTTTTCATAGTTTTGTAAATTTATTCCGATCATACGATAGATTATTTCATACACAAGAAAGCTTTGAAATGAAATTCTAAAAAATTTATGGCAAAAATGCAAATTATTTGTGTGAAAGTTTAACCTTTATTAATGCACAGTGTATCCTACAAATTCCAGGCGATATAACTTTCAAGCATGCATATTTTTTGCAAAAATATTGGAGTGAAAAGGTTTTCATTACCAAACTTTTCAAAGGGTTTACTCCGCATATAAATTTTATTAAGCAAAAATCGGATGTTTCGGATCGAACCGGAACCATTTTTACGGGACACTACGTAACAAAAAGTGAAAAACCAGCTATTGTTTGTAGCAGCCAGAAACGCTTTACAAAATAGCAACGGTGAATCCAGACGTCGCGGGTCTAGCTATGAGAAAATCACATTCAAGCATGTGGTCATGTGGCGCCTGCGAAATCATGACTGCGCGTTGTCATTTAGAAGAACAACATTGTAGTAGATGCGCAGGAACTGAATCTCGCATCTTGCAAAAAACAGATAACTGTAACTTAGTTACGTTATATACTCGTTATACTGAATTAAACTCCCTACTTCAAGTCGTTCGTTTAATATGAAAAAATCTTCAAGTTGCTGAGCAAATGGACACTTATCAGCGCAGCAGACCCGTACAACAACATGATCAGAATTTAAACTTACCCTAACGATATTGTCTTTATCACATAGTATCCGAAGCAGCTCCTCTGACCTTTCATAGTTGGCTAGTTTATAGGAAAGGAGTTTCTCCTCACTCTGAAGAGTCAACAGCCGAGCCTCTGTTTCGACGTATTCGTCCAGCGCAGGAATCACAACCTCGCTCATTCTGTAAAACAGAAAAAAAACAATTAAAAATTTAGCTAGAAAGCAAAATAAAAATACAACAAACTTGTTTAAGGCAGCGAAACATTTGTTCATCCCCGGAATCCGGAACTCCTTTGTTTCTTGCTCCATACGTTCCATTCGCTGTCTCAGATCAGCATTCTAAAAATAGCATAATCACATATTTATGGAGTTTTATGGTGACACGGTATTATTTACTTCCTGACGCAGCTCGTCGATGATCGCCGCGTATCGATGGACATGCTCATCGAATCGGAAAGTATTTTTTCTGGCATCGGTTTTGATCTGCTTTGCCCGATCAGCGTACTTTAAGGTGTTAAACGTATCTTCATAATGGAAAGAACTAGCACTAAATGTGTCAAAATTTTTGGCAAGCTCCATGTTTCAGTATGCTTCGTTCATGCAGACAGAATATTAATTTTCGTCTGCCAAGTATAAAAAATTATTGCAATCTAATGATGGATCATTAAAATACTTTCTCCCTATTATCATTTCGAGTGATGCAAAAGAAGAGCTCTATCTCAAGAGCTAGATAACCTTTTGTGAATTCTTTTACGCACAATACGATACTCACGACTGTATAAATATAATGACTCAGTGCCGTTTCATCATTACGATGTGACTGATTACGACTGAGAACTCATCTCCAACTAGTATTAACCTAACGGAGGGGAGGTTGGCGAAAGCCAAACTCGGCGACAACAAAGGCAAGTCTTGCAGCAACAGCTAATATAGAAATCGTGACTAAAACACTCATGGTTAGATCCAACATGATTGGTAACCACGGTCCATCGTAAAGTAACACCATGAGCTTCGAAGTGCTCTGAGATCAGCGCCTAACGGCTAACTAAAAACGTATTCTACACTTAAAGTGTGTTTTTCATGTATCTGCGCACTATTTCACATATTATTGCAAAGACTAACAGAGAAGAATATCCATACTATTGTTCTCATTTTTTTGAACCTGTAGGTAATTAAACAGTAACACCTGCAAAGAGTCTTATTTAGAGTAATGCGTCAGTGTTCATACAGCCACGGGATCGATAACTAAGAAAGCAGTGGAAAGGATGATAGATATTTGTTCTATCCAGGCAAAAAACCAGAAAAATAGTCCGCCTATTTCACTCTTGTGAACCTGAAAAGGTTGTCAAACCTCATTAAGGAAAGCAACAAAACAACAACATTATAACGTCGGCAGTAAAACATCGTATGAAAATAGTAACTTTAACGTTAACACGTGCCAATACCTAACGTTGGCGATCATCACCGTGAAACAACTGCCACCAAGCGAATCTTTGAGGATTCGGGTCAGTTTGCTGTCCCGGTATGGAATGTGAGCACCTTTCTGAAGTTTGCATAGTCAGTAAAATCATAGCAATTTTTAAGCCAAAACACAAAACAACTACCCTTCCGCAGGCGAGGGCATTTATACAATTTCCAAGGGCTAAAAGGGATTTGTTGATATTGGCGCCTTCGCGAAAACGTTCACCACAATTTTTTGTTGCCGTCGCTCTCTCGGAACCAGCCAGGTCAATCAGTGACAACTTAGAAGAAACCACCTCAGTGGTGGTGTTCGCCGTTTTGGGCCGTTGTTTCAGATAAATCTAAAATAACGATATACTAACACGAAGGCTGAATACAACAGATTTCTGGCAAATGTATTGGTCTCCATCTCTTGAGCATTTTTTCCGATGCCTAAAGATGCCTGCGCGCCTTTTGGGGTCAACAAGGGTTCTAGTAGTGCCGTTAATAGCAGTCAGCAAGAACAACAGCACAAACATGACTGTCTCGCGTTATTTCATGCCGATAAACAGAAGATTACAGGTCAAATTAAAGCATAATTGTAGATTCTGACTTAAAAACAACAGAAAAAAGGACGTAGAAATACACATCAAAATCATAAGATCTGGCTGAGTAATTTACATTTTAAACTATTTAGAAGGCAGAATTGGAAGAAAACATTAATGCAAAAGTTCAACTGAGTCGATCTTTCCTACAATCATGACGGCAGCATTTTCACTTTGGAAGAGTTCGAAATGAATAAAATGATACGAAGGTACTTATCAATACAGACGACAAAAGCGGAAAACAAAAGTCATATAAATACAGGATATTATTAACGGCTTTTATGAGAAAAGTACAAGGGGACGGACGTTCGGAGAGTCATAAGCCTTCTACCACCTTTCACTCGCGCTCTAACCCTAAATAAAACCAACTGTCAGCAGGTCATCGCCACACTATCTACGGCATTAGGGAATTTGCCACCTGCGCTACACTCCGAAAGTGACCTACTAACACTCACTGAAAAGGTGTGTAACACTGCCATTGGAGTGGGGCTACAAGTTAATGCCAAGAAGGCGACAATTATAAGGGTGCAATTTTCGATCATTATCTCGAAGATACTATGGATTGACACTGCAATGAACGAGGTGGGCCTTTCAAGTAATCTATACTTGAACTTTGCTGGCTAGCGATGGCGGCACTGATCCTGGAGTCAACTGGCACATCGTACTGCAGAAACGAAAACGAAGACCACCCTTCTCAAAGTAGTCATATTTGCAGTGCTCGTGCGCAATCTTGAAAAGTCCGCTGCCTGAGGGAAACATTGCCGTCAAAGTGGTATCGCAAAATCAGGTAGGGATGACAAAACAGATGGAGACGACCACCAGCCTGAGAAAGCAACAGACGAACTCAGAGACTGGAGCCTGGTTCAATCTGATAGAACGGCTGGGAAAGAATGAAAACAACTTCAAAAGACTTTTTCTCTTTCGAACCGTAAATTGGCTGCACATGCGCTGAAGGGCAATACAAAACGTGGAAACATCTCGTTGAGGCAGACCTGTTTGAGAAGAAGAACATGACCCCTATCAAAAAAATAACGTTTGCTAAAGTATCATTTCTAACGGTCAAACATCATAAATCTCAGATGCACTGCTGTTTAAGCCATGCTAGCTTCAGATAACGATGAAAGAAGAGGGTGGAAACAACAACAACATGTACTACTAAGATCAATATGACAACTAGGTTACAAAATGTAAATTTGTCTAGAGTAACTTGCCTGAAAAACAGCATGAGATCGCGAGGACTCTTTGTTGGCGTCGGTCGGATGTTGGGTACGATTCTGATTGCCAAAATTTAACAATTGGGCAACTTCCTCCGGCGAAGTTAGCTAAAAAGTCGAACCGTACATCGTCAAATCAAATCAATGTCTTATGTCGCAAAAATTTACATATTAACTACATTAATTGCCTGTCTTCAAAACCCATATCTCACGATAGCTAATTTATTTTATTTATATTTTCAGTAACAGACATATTTCATGCAAATTAATACCTGTTTTATACAGACAACAAACAAACAACATCGTAGTCCAACTCGCGGTCGTCATCAAATTTACCTCGTGAAAAGAGAGATTATTGATCAGCACACCACTTAGGCCGTTTTCACGAATGGACAGCACACCATTCTCTGGCTTGAGCAGGTCACGAACAGTCTCGTTGTATACTTCAAAATAACAAATGTTCAAGTCGCATATGTAATCTTCGTGAAGCGCGTTCAGTCGATCGAACAGTTCCCCCACCGTCAGCTGCATGATGCCTAAGTTGCCGGTTTTGCCCAACATGGTATGTGTTTTACCGGAGCCGGTAGAGCCGTAGGCGAAGACTGTAGAGTAAATAGTGGCCAAACAACTATCAACAACTACGCAAACAAGCAAGCTTGGGCCGCTATACCTGAACAATTGAAGCCACCAAGGAATTTGTCCAGGATAGGCTTGGTAGTGTTGTCGAACACCTCCTCGTTCGATGATTCCGGTGTGAAAATACGGTCGAAAGCAAACTTGATATCCTTACACCGTCTGGCCGTCGGATCGCTGAAAAGTAAATCAATTCACCTGAACAGTACACGAGATCAGATCGATGGCAATATGATTATGGCTTTTAGATTTCAGCTTGCGACTGATTCATTTTCGAGCCAATATTGGAACAAACGCAAAAACTCACTAGATGAATTGTCCTAACCCCTAAGTGAATGCGCTTTACAACCGTAAAGCCTCGATGTGTTTGAAAGATGAGTAAAATCACCAAAAAATAGCATAAAACGTTTAACAAACGAACCACTTATTGAAAAACTGTATAGAATATTTTTGTTGTAATAAAGATAATAAGCATCTAACTCAGACAAACGAAGTTGCTTGAATTTAAGACATTTCGTGCTTAGAAACAGTTTATGCAGGTCAGAGATCAACGGTATTCGAACCCTTGCAATATATCAATTTACGTTGTGTCGTTTTATTCCCCCTCGCCCATCAGGGGAATCAGTGAAGCACTGGACAAGAAATTCGCTTTACACTGAGGTGCCGAGATAAAATTCCAGCATTGGGAAAATTTTTAATCATCGCTCGTTGCAACTAAGCAGTTGCGGGTACCAAGCATAGAAGAGAAAGGAGGAGAGTACAGAGTCGTGGTGAGGCCTCACGAACAACTTAGCCACCTGTACTTGAGAGGACTGCCATCACAGAACATTACACCTGTTCGGTCGTTGCACGGAGTTACCAAGGGTCATGCAGTCTGTTGGAAAAGTGAGTGAGAATGCTAAAAGTCGTAATAAGAATTTGATTCTCACCTTGTTACAAATAACGATATAGCAGCACGTAGATGGCTGCTGCAGCTCGATAAGAACACTATGAAGATACCAGGCAGCAATGGAGCTGCTAGCCGTTTTGAACGGAGCAAGCACACAAAGTGATGCCATTATAGCACTTCCGATAAGGTTCAACGCGGACGACACAATCAAAAAGAGCTTATAGCCAGAATTGAGAACATCTCCTCAAACAGAGGCCATTGAGAAGTAAAAGTTGCAATGATTTGGATACGTCTTGAAAATGTTTCCAGAAAGGAAAGTGAAACAACTATCACCTTCCCATGGACCCCGGGAATGGCCAATAATATCGAGGGGCAAATTTCTCGGCACTCTCGCTCAAGACTAAAGTTATTTTCTGATGAAACCCAAACGCTGGCACAATATCGACAACATTAGAGACATTGTCTGATGAGTCTGCGTCCGCGATCCGAAACGGTCATAGAAACAGACTGACTGACGAAAATAGATGACGATACAAATTCTGAAACGTTGATCGATCCAACTAAGTCAGTTTATTAAGCACATGCAAGAAGATATACCGAATTACGGTGCCCTTGAAGTAACTGGGCTGTTGAATTTCAGGGGCGTCGAAAACGAGAACATTGGTGTCCATGATCGCAACGATGCTTCTGCCGGCCGGACTGAACTTTTCCAGAGCAGTTAGCGGTCGTACTCTGACGCATACCTAAACGAAACATAAGCGTATAGTCACATCGCAAGCAGATATTAGGCAATAGGGTACTTTACCTTTATGTGTGAACCTTTTGTCAGCAAACGATTGGCCGATCTTGGCGTTCGCAGAAATGATGCTCTGCTGCGCCGTCTAGTTCCGTTTCGGCAGACAAACGGCGACTTCATCGCCTTCGACAACATTTAAAGATAGGAATTGCGAAAAGTTTCGCTTTTAAACCTGAAACACAACACATAAGAAGAATTTAAGTCACTGGTGAATGTTAACAACGCGGAAATATTCAGAAAAGTTACCAATGGCAAACCTCTTCAACTCCTTGCTATTATAAAAAACATGTCAAAACACGGTTGATCGAAACCGAATTAACCTCATCCAAACCTGATTTATATTTCTGTTAGCTGATCACGGCTCAAAGAAAGCTTCAGGAGGTGACATGAAAAAGTAAATCTAAAGTCAACAGCAAAAAAGTCAGTATTTGCGAACTTTAACGAGTCAGTGGAACAGTTAACTCAATTTAATAGTGAGTTTTTTCAACCAGTTTTCTGATCGATTCGATTCCTTATATAAAGCCTTGCAACTGTCCTGGAATAGGCTATCAACAGAGAACTAGTGCCATGACAATAGAAAGTTTGAAACTGTGTACAAAATCACAAAACGGTTTCAGCAGACAGAAAAGAAACAATTTAGTGCAATTTTATGACGTTAAACACTAAAAAACAACAAAGCGACTATCAAAATATAAACAACAATGATCTTTCAACATATTGTTTCTTTGAAGTGGATGCTTTTCTCTCCCGAATGCAACTTTGGCGCTGTGAAGTAAAACCGTTGCTAAAAACGGTGGTCTGGAAAGTTCTTTAGACAGAAGCACGGCAACTCGCTATAGGCAAGGTTTACCAAGACAGACCGGAAATGCTCAGTCGGTAAAATGTCGGAGTCAGAATCGAGATGCCCAATGGTTGAGCCCCTGTAGGTTCAATCGCGTTTCTTTCTTTCAAGGTTGCGACATGAGTATCACGCTGTAGAGAGGAAAAATATGCTTGATACATGACTGCTGTCAACTCTGCATTTAAAATAAGACACTCATGGCTAATTGTACGAAAATGGAGATCTTAATGAAAACAGCGGCATAAATGAGCCCATTAAGAAAGTATACGGAAGACCTACAATTATTCTAACGCCAACGATTGCCGATTTTCATCTACCATCTTCAAGCCGGAATGGCTAAACATTACACTGCATAACATGGTTCTTCCGTCAAAAATTAACATCTCACACAGCCATTACAAGGGGATTAACACGGCAAGCATATTCAAAGGGATCAATTAGAGAAGTAAGCCAGAATGCGCATCTAAAACGAAAAGCCTAGTGCTTTCGCGTTCTCCTGCCCGTTGCTCTCTTCAGATTAACAGAGAGGCAGTGGAGCATTGGCGAAGTTCAAGTAACTCGGAACTGCATTTACTAGTGATGGAAAATTGGAGGAAGAGATTGACCGGCGAATTGGACTAGCCAGTGGCGTTCTGCGTGAATTAGCCCGATCCACTGTGACTAAAACAGTGCTCAGTCTGAAAACTAAGCTCTCAATATTCAAGTCGATCTTTATCCCCATGAATCGTGGACCATCACTGAAAAACTTCGAACCCGGGTACAAGTTGCTGAAATGGGCTTTCTTAGACGAGTCGCTGGCCTTACGGGTCTCGACATAGTTCGGAACAGTGACATCCGGAAGAGCCTTGGATTACAGCCTTTGCTTCTCCAGATTGAGGTCACAGCTGCGATAGCTTGGGCATGTGTTGCGAATGCCTCCAGAAAGGAAGGATAAGCAACTGTTCCTTGCAAATCCGACCGGCAGAAGGCCCCGGGGGACGGCCAAGATTAACCTGGTGTAAATATATGGAAGTCTGTTCCAGACTCCAGTTATCCTTTGCCGAAGCTCAGACTCTGGCACAGGATCGGGAACGTTTTAAGCTTTCTCTGACGCGTCTGCCTCCGAGACCTGGCAGGAGAAGAGGGATGGAAGATGAAGAAGCACACCCCAATGCGCATTGCCACGGTTCCTCAAAGCACCTTGACAATAGAAACGCTATCCATTACGAGCGACAGAACATAAGCATCATTCCATTCAATTTTTTGGTGTAATATTTTGTTTCTGGTCGACGATCATTTCTGCCATTATGTATATTTTATAGAGCGCTTAAAAATAACAGTACTGTAATTTAAAATAGCAACTAACGAATCCCAATGTCAACCTAGGAGTTCAAAGGCAACTCTTCTAATCCCCCTCTTCCTGTAGGTTTCACTGTCTTCTGCATGAATGACATCGCTTTATGTCAAATGCCTTTTTTCATGTCATGAATCCCGCTTCATAACCTCAGTAGTACAGAATGTCGGCCCACACTTTTTACCGGACGAAACTTGGAGTCGAAAAATCCGAGCACTAAATTACTGTTGTATACATTTAAAAAAAGGCAACAGCAGTAAAACTGACACAGAGAAACAATAAACGGGGTCAATCTACTTAAGAATGCTATTGATCGTTGAGCAGCAGTTCTTTGGGGTGCAAAGGCAGAACTACGAAAGTAATCAGGAAAGAAAAATTTGCCATCTTACACCCTTTCCCTCGGCCAGTAAACCCGGTAAAAAATGCACTAAAATCAAACTATAGACCTCTGAAAAGATTATATTAAACAGAAGAAATTACTTACGGCAAAAAATTGAAAACACAATGCTCGAAAAAACTGTATGCGACAGTCGTCGAAGGTCATGAAAAAATAAGCGACGTGGCCCCCAAAGTGAAACACCTTGGCCTACATTAAGACTTCAACAGATAGAATCGTGTCGAAAAAATCATCTCGATTTTACATCTGCTCAGAACATGTCAAACGCACAACAAGAACAGACGCGGTGTCACCACGTTACTAAAAGAACAGCTTCCTCCTTTCAACGGATCTGGTTTCCATGAGGAATACAAAAATGCTGATCATTTACCTGTGGCTATATCCAACTATGGTGATCTGCCTGAAGAACGCCTGTGATACTTTGTATCAGTGTAAATAAACGTATTCAGTTGCTTTATAAAGGGAACATGGCCATATCTTTCAGCACAAAAGAACAGCAAGGAAAAACACAAAATGCATAAGTGCACGCTAAATGGTAGGCTAAATAAGTAGCTGCTTACATGACGGGCCCTTTATGACGCGATGCATACCCATTCCTGTTTAACCGTGCAAGGTCATTATTTCTATCCTCGTTCTGGATGCTAGAGAAAAACAAGAGACAGAGCCGGATGAAGAAGATGGTTGCTCTTGCTCAAGCGTAGGAAACTTTAAGGTTGCATTGAGAACATTTTTTTAAAGTTACAAAATCAAAAATGCCCCTTAAGTTTTTGCATATTCAGGTCGATAACGACTGACATACTTTCATTAATGCAATATATTATGTTATTTACATTGGATTACATTAGAAAAATACATCATAACAATCGTCAAACGATTTGTTACGTACAAGCATTATGTAGATTGTCGATGCTTCAGATCATACT